GACAACGCGAGAGCTCGTAGAAAATACGAAAACTAGAAGGGAACAAAAGATCTTAACCGGTGTATTGCAGCGATAAAGAGACTCTATCGAAATCTGTAGAACCTCTGCGCATTCAACTACTTTACATGGAAGTTCCATTAACTTGTATTTGCACATTTTATACGGATCCGGAGATAAGGGCCGGATGGAATTTACGAGAGGATAGTTAACAGACGAAACTAACGCGTCTTTATTTCAGAGATTTCACCGCTCGGCTGAGTAACCAAATTTTTGAAAAACCCACAACGATGAAACTAATGGAATCCTCGATTCAACTTCAATTATACTTCCGCCATCAAAATCGTGGATAAAGGTTTTCCCGTTAAAACATGTTTCGAACGAAATATCTCGTTCTATCTTTTTAAATTTTCCACATGCGTTCTGTTCCGTTGTTCTCAAGTACGAAAAAAGTTCGTTTCGGCGGAAATTTAGTCGGATAATTTTTCTTCCAAGTAGGAACATATAGAACCACAATTTTTCTTTCTTTTTCAACAACTAGAGTAAATCGCGAGACGGAGCACATACGTAGCTTTCTGAAATACCAGTTAGATTTCACGACCATTATCATACTTCGGTTGTGCACGTTGTACTTCCCGCCAGAAGTTCATCTAATCGCGTAGCATTTCCATAAAACGCAAATTTTTCATCCCTTTAATTTAACTTGGATGCAAAACTTTCTTGCTTACAATCTCGTCTTTGCGATATGTAAAACGATATGTTTCACTGCATAGTGTACGAATTTGAAACGCTTTTAATGCGTTCTTTTTCCTACGTTTTATGCGTTCTTATAAATTTTAATATGCCTATTTTTTAAAAAAGTATTACAACCTCTGTGTTATTGAAGGTTGCTGCTGTAAGTTCGTTTAATATACCACGCCATAAGCGAAACCCTCTGCTTTTTATTCGATTAATTGTAAAATAAATTATACCTTTAAGACAATATTGGTCCATCACTCTCCGATTTACCCTACATAGATATTTTTCTAAAGTTAATAGCGTTTCGGGAAAGAGGTTTACCTTGGTGAGTTGTTAAAACATGAAACTTCACCGACAGAGGGAATTTTCATTTCATGAAGGCAGAAACATGAAATTCGATGAATAAATCATGCTCTCGATGCTCTTTGCCTGGCCGAGTTCAGAATACGATTTATCGGCTCCATTCAGTTACAAACGACACTTGCCTCGTCCTTTTCTTTTATTTATTTTTTTTTTTCTGTGGACTACTAGCGTCGATTTTTTTTTTTTAATGTGTGAATAATTGGAAAATATTACCGACAGCAAAAGTTTCGTTTTAATAGGATCTAACTGAGGATAAACGATTGCTCGAACTTTTGTGGAACTTGTGATACATGCAATAATAAAATTTTGTAATATTTTTCATTTGTTGCAGATGAATTCCATCATCATGAATACATCATTGTACAACGAAAGTGTCTGGCCAAGCGTGTTTAACAACACTCATAAAAGCTCTGGAAATTTCTCGATGGACGATGATTCTGGTACGAATTGCATTCAATACTATTAAGTTGTACATTCACTAGCGGCGAAAACTTTCGGACCACTGTGCGTTGCAAATTGCACAAACATACACCGGCAAGGTTGCATACCCCGTTAAGTGATAATCGTGGTGGTTTCCTCACCTCGAGTATCGTGTTATACCGCTCGAAGATCGGCTGAATAAAACTTGGTAGGAATAAGTTCAAGGGAGAGTAGGTAAAGTTGACCGATAAAAAAAAAAAAGAAGAAAAACTCCGATTTCTGCCAAGTGACTGAAACCGCTAAGTTTCTAGGTGAACTCACAGTTTGGCGAAAGAAGAACTCGTTAAAAGTCGTGGCAAGTGTGTGACGACAATACGTTCGGTGCACAGCCGTTCGAGCCTCGTCTTATTAACGAAAGTTTGCACGTAAAACGAGGTAAATCAGAGTAATGCAAGGCACTGTAACTTAAATGAAATGCAAATAGGGTTAGTCATTATTTTGTAACAGAATTAGAATGAGGATTGGTTATTTCGTAAGCTCCGCCGCTGACTTTGTCGGCTACATACAATGAATCGCGTTAAAAAAAAAAGAACAAAAGAATAGAATTGGATCGGTAAATTTAATCTTGAAAATTCAAATAAGATACAGGTAGAGTTCTCACTCGATGAATTTTTATCTTTACGAATTTTTTAT